AAGCTCTTAATTTACCAGTAAATCTACATTTTGTCCCTCACCTATGATCATGTACACCACATAGTTACTGAAAGAACGAAATGTCAGATAAAGCAGCTGTAATGGGTTTCCTCAGTAGGTTGGCTGAACTCAGCCTTTAGCATTTAGGTAAGGAATTCAGAGAATAGACACTGAGGTGGTATCTGATTAGGATACCTCCTTGGCACCTTCCTTTCAAGGTTTTCTGGGAACGTCCTACTAGGAGGAGACCAGCACATATCCAATCTGGCCTGGGAACACCTCTGGATCTTCAGGGGATCTGAAAAAGTGTTGTGATAGAGAGAGAAGCCTGAAATGCCCAACAAGTTCATGACTGCATGAATGGAAGGATGCTTCTAGGCAACTAATGCTGTCGTGACAGTGCATCCCATTCATTCTTTTTATACAATTTCTGGTCCTCAGGAACCCTTAGACTCAGCACTACAGGTGAGACGCCAGCTATGTGTGGAGGAGTATACTGCTTAGGCTTTAGAGTGGAGACTAGGATTGGTCCACCTCTTGTGACGGGGCTGCATGACGCTGAGGCAGACATGGCTCAGACAGTTAGTTCACATTTATGTCTGACTCACAGATATTTTCAGATTTACACTAGTTGTAGAGATTGTGTACTGGAGAAAACAAGACACATCATGAGTCAGTGATTTAGAAGCCAATAGTCATGATGTGGCCATCACATCACATCACATCAATAGTCATGATGTGATGGCCACAGCCACATGATAAAAAGCCAGTGATGATTTGGGGTGTGGTTTCTAGTTCCTTCCTGCTGCCAGCCTGTTCTGCTCACTAATCAAACGCCTACAGCAGATAAAACCTCCCGGCTCGTCACTTCAGGGGGCCTGATTGTTCAGTTAAACTGTGTGGTCACTTTGTTTGGTTAGCATTTTCTGTTTGTTAGTATAGTTATATTTTGTTGACCCCTTTTTAGGCCTAGAAATTTATTTTTAAATTGTACTATTTAGCCTTTTTTTTTTTTGGTGAATAAAGCCTTATTTTTCAATTTAACTCCTGGTTTCCTTTTGCCTCACCGTTTGGTCCCTGACGCTTGTTAATGCATGAACACTGCGGCCACGACACACAACCAGGGATGTCATACAAGTGAGAATCGTCTCTTGAAGAATCCGGGAAAGAAATCTATGAGAGACCTCTAACAGGATAGAGGCTGTATGGAGCATGTCCCACCCCTTCCTCCCAAATAGCCAGTCATCTGCTTTGTAACAGTAGAACTTGGAAAAATCATGGCAAGCCAGTCATGTTATTTAACTGCAACCACATTTTGGTCAAAGTCACCAAACATTTTCAGCATTTACTTATTTATTTATTTGTATCCGGTTTTGTCTGGCGATTCTTTACATGCAGTTATGTGGAATTGTAATAGTTTCTGTACATTTATTTAGATAGGAGTCTGGTCTGTTATCCCAAAACGACTGTGTTACCAAGATGGCATTGGAGCGACGTACCTTTAAGGACTTTGACGCAACACTCTTTCCAGCACTTAATATCGTCATAGCAACATCAGGGATAGGGAATTATGCCACATTAAAACTGCATTGTTCTGGAGACAGAATCACGAACAGTGAATAGTGAATAATCTCTACCAACACCATATATTCAACATCACTAGCAACTGATTTATCTCAAAATATAAAATGTTACACATCAGTGTAAAAATGTGACGGATCCTGTTTGGAGCCAGTGTTTGATTTGTCTGTCCTGGGCTACTGCAGAAATGTGGTGCAACATGGAAGACTCACTTAATATGTACATATTAAGAGCTTATTCTAATCCAATGAAATCAACTTATTGGCAAAAATACACTGATGAAAGCTTGATTATGAACACTTTATTCTACTTCTGTGAATGGATGCCCTAAATCCTGTTCACTGGTTGTAACATCAGCCCCTTCATTTTAATAACTGACATAAGGAAAAACCTAAAACAGAAGAACTGTAAGGACAACCAGCAGGAATTAGGCTTCATTTGCAAGGTAGCACCTTCTAGTTTCTAAAATGTGCTTGCTTATCATGTGGCTAAAACTAGTCGAAAAACTAATGGTTGCTAAGAACGTAAGAGGCATTCTATACAACCTGCCCGACTGGTAATGTTTTTTTGTGCCAGTCCTCTCTTTCCCTGAATATCCTGTCTGGATTTTTGTATTCTGTCAAATACAAACAGGATGCAAAAACAGTACCTCAGTTTTAGTTTCAGAAACCTGTGCTAGTGGTTTTCTATTTCATCAGGGTGTTTACTATCATGCAAAACATATGTTTATGGTGATTATGTATGAAAATAAACTGTGCAGATGTAGCAACAAAAAGCTGTTTTGATAACAGTGGAGCATAAATTGGTGAAAGCCCACCGCGCCATGCCAGCTGGCACAGCTATGGGCTGCATGTTAGTTTGCAACAGCTGGGGACTGATGCCCTGAAATTATGTGTACATTCACAGAGTAGACTCTTTCACTCAAATGAATTAAAACATTCACAGTATTTGCTATATAATGTAAAACAGTTTTTTTTTTTTTCCTTTTTGCTGCTGTCATTTTTTTTTTAATTTTATCTTTAGCAGATGTGTTTATGAGCTCAGTGTGAAGGTGGTTTAGTCTCTAGAAATAAGATTCAATAGATCTTTTTTTTATTTAGAACTTTATAAAAACTAAACAGATGAAGCATTATGAGGCTTAGAGTTACAGAAAACTGTGGAAAACAACATTAAATACACTTAAGATAAAAGAATGTACAAAACAGAGAACATCTTGCCAGCTAATGCAAATTCAAACTAACCCTACTCTATCACACATCTATACACATGACTCTTTTCTACAAACATACAAACATGAAGTATTTAATCCACATGTTTCACATAATGCTTTATATGTTGCTTGGCCCTCTTGAATCATTCCTCCCTTATAAAAACAGACTGAAACTAGGAAACCTTCAGACTGTCTGGGTAAATCAGATTTACTGCTTAGAAGCTGCATTATTTTGTGACTGATTTAATAGTGCTGTAAGGCCTTGATGAAACTGTGAAAAGTTGTGGTCCATGAAGTCCGCAAAGATTAGGGAATGTAGTCTGAGCTGTGTTTCCACCAGTTAGACTTCCTGGCAGGTGCTGGTTCTAAAATTCTTTTATTTCTGAAATCTATTTGTGCTGGCTCATGACGGCCCTAAGGTAATCTTCAAAGCGTGGGACAGCAGACTGTAGGGCGGCGGCCTCCTTGGCCGGTTCATCAGCAGGCTCATCAGCTGCAGCAGCAGGCTCAGCGCGACGTAGGCGGCAGTTGTAGTCGATCTCGGGGTCGCAGTCAGGATCAGGCAGGATTATACCATCTGTGCCGGGCTTCGGGGCCTCAACGCCAGCGGGTGGAGCAGCCTTGCCACACTTAGGATCAAAAGGATGGCAGAAGGGCTTGGCTGGAGCCTTGATGTCAGCCTTAGACCCAGACTTGACCGGGGTGCAGTCTTTGTCATAGTGCACATAGCAGTCGTGGCCCTCCTTGGTCTTGCCAGGGACACCAAGCTTGTAGCGAACCTGGTTGATTGATTGATTGATTGATTTGTGTTTTTTTGTTCAAAAAAATGCAAAGCAGATTGAATATAACAAGTGAAAGCATTATTCAACACCCATTTCATTTTACTACACCATTTAATAAACCAAATGTTAAGGAATAGACAATTAATAGAACCATTCAACGAGCAAGATTACACTAGATTAGTCAAAGCACTGAACTACTCAAACCTACTAACAGGACCTTAAATTCAGACCTGGTGCTCGGGCTTCTGTGGAGGGGGCTTGCGTAGGGCAGCGGCGACTGCCAGTATGCAGTATGGGTCAGTGCGAGGGTCGCACGACAGAGGAGCAGCTGGAGGTGCAGGCTCATCGTTGGGGGCATACTCTAGGACGGGCTTGGTGAGGCCGGACAGCTTGGTGGCAGTCAGGGGATTGCAGCCAGCCTCAAACAGAGGGTTGCAGTGCTGTTCTTTAGGGGCCTCCCCAGCAGCCAGGGGAGCAGGAGCAGCGACACTGGTCACACACAGAGGATCCACGGCTGGGTCACAGCTGGGGTACATCAGGTGGTAGAAGCCAGTGGGGGCCTTCTGGACCAGAAGGGGCATGCAGTAGGGGTCCTTTGGGTCACATTTGAGGGCAGCATAGGATGGAGCTGGACCAGCTGCTGGGCGGTAGCCATATGCTGCTCTCAGGTGATACTGCAGACACTCCACATCTTCAGGGTTGCAGATCCTCAACAGCTCAGACCTTTGCTCACTGCTCAGGAAGGGCTCCAGGACAGGAGCGTAGTAGTAGAAACCGGTGGGGCTCTTCAGGGGCATGGGCAGCATGGGGGTGAGGATAGGAGCTGGCACCTTGACTGGAGCGGGCTCAGGTTCAGGCTCTGGGATGGCCGCCTTGGGGACCAGGGGGAAGAGGCAGTAGGGGTCAAGGTAGGGGTTGCACAGCCTGACAGGAGCAGACTTGATGGCGGCAGGCATCACAACAGCAGCCTTTGGCTTGCTAGTGGACTCAGAGATGCACTCTGGATCATCAGAATCAGCACAGCTCTTGTAGATTTCACTGAGGTGCTTGAGGTAGTGGTTGAAGGTGGGTCCCTCCTCTGACCTGTGCTTGTTCTGCAGGTAGGCCATGTACAGGCGATCCAGGTCTTCAACCTGAGGAACAGTACAAAAATAAATAAATCGGGTCCAAGATGATTTAAGAGAATAAAACAGAATTCAAATGAACTGCTTGAACTGAATGAACTGGAGAAATAACTGTTCAGCTTTTTCTGTTTCTTTTAACTACAGCAGGGTAATGGCATATTAATATGTCTATATAAGCATGATAGAAGCAATAAATCATTTATTGTGGTCTTCTGAATTGTAGAAGTAAGGATCCTGTTACTAAATTAAAAGCTGTGTGAATTTGTCTTTTTACCGCAAAAGATGTTGCATATTTGATTAAAAAATGGAATGAGAAACTCTCCTAAAAATGCAAACTAGTGTTGCAAATTGTTGCCTCAATTTTTAAAGGAAAAGAAAAAGAAAAGCACTGTTTCATAATTGTGACCCAGAGAAACCAAATAATTAATGTGAAACAAACTCGACTCACTCCCTCCTGGTTGTGGCTGTCCATGAAGTACTTGTACCATCCCCAGAAGTCAGGCAGGCGTTTGAACTGGGGCACAGCCCAGACGGGGATGTTCCTTCTGTTACGAACCAGCGTTTTCAGGTTGTCCATTGCCTCGGTTTTCACATCATCAGACACTGCAGCCACTGAGAAGGGAGGACAGGCAGAGGTAATGAATAAGGGCACTGATTCATACTGGAGGAAGTAAGAGTGAACAGCTAGTTTTCATTTGTTGAAAAAATGTCTTGTATAGTATCCTCAGGATACTCCTAGTTTTATTGTTTTCACTATTTATAGACATCCTGAAATTACTCAGTTGTGAAGCACATTCACGAGTGCATTGTTAGAATTGCATTTACGTGTGTTTGTGTGATATTCTTGTCATTGAGTTATCATGTAATGCTCTTTTGAATGTTTGTATTTTGATTCTTACCTCAAAAATGACAAAATTTAAGAATATGTAATTATTTATGAAGTTATCTAAAGAATTGTTCAGCATTTTGGAAATGATTCTTTCTTTCTGAGAGTTAGATGAGAACAGTGATGCCAACTCGTGTTTGTCCATCAACTGTGAAACTACAGCCAGCAGCAGGTCAGCTTAGCTTAGCACAAAAACTGGAAACAAGGGTAAACAGCTGGTCCGACTCTGTCCACAGGTAACAGTAAGAAAGCCCATATGCTTATTTTAACTATTCCTTTAAGACATATAAGACACATATACTTCAGTTAGTAATTTGATATGTTTGTGGATGAACTATAAAAGAAGCTCAGATTGACTATACCATGAGAAAGAAAGAAAAATTAAACTAATATAAAGTAATACAATGTAACAACATTACAAACTATATCCTCAAAAAAGTCATCAGAGTTGACTATATTTTTATCTCTTCATCACTGACAAACATAAACCTCGCATGTTATGTTATAATGCATAGATTGCATTATTTTTTAGTTAATCTGCTAAATACTCTGTTAGAGTGATGATTTAATCATGTTGTCTCTTAAATATCAGTATATGTAGCCCAACGCAAGTTCTCATGCCAAACATCATTTTAGTTTAGTGTCATACAAGAAAAAGAGAGACCAAAATATGCTTTTAAATATACTTTTAAAACACAATAATTTCCCAGGCCTGGGATAAATAAAGTATTTTTCTATTCTATTCTATTCTATTCTATTCTATTCTATTCTATTCTATTCTATTCTATTCTATTCTATTCTGCTGACTAATTGTTTCAGCTCTAGATGGAGATTGGTTTGATTGTGAATAACACATTTATGTTGTGATCACTAGCTCAAAAGGACAAGGAAAGAATAGATGGATGGTTAATTAATTAATTTATTTATTTATTTAGCCTCATAAATATCAGTGACTGAGGATTCTGAAGTCAGTTTTCAAGCCACATCACAAATCCTCACCTTCCTCCTGCTTGTTCTGCTCCAGTGGAACGGCCCCCAGAAACTCTGTAAAACACAAGCAGCAGCCACATTAGCAGCAGCAGGGACATTCACTGACTAGGACCAGATGTTGAGCTTTCCCTTAACATCAAGGAAAATGCTGACCCACTAATAAGCCCCTGGGTGAAGCACGGTAGGCGCTGGGGCTCTGGCGCCCCGGCACAGGCAGCATCCTGCAGATTAAACACTGCCTACCCCTCCTCTACCTTCAGACCCCCACCCAGCTCCATGTATGTACCGTTTAACTTTGAACAAGAGCGGTGGAGTTTATGCAACTACTGGGGGCCTCCTTAAAGTGAACCTGTAAAACTACAAAGAGTGGGCCCTCGCACAAACCAATTACCAATACACTGTAAAATGGGCTGGTGGGAGGGAGAGGACGTGTCTGAGTGTCTTCTGCTCCACCAGAGGTTTCCTGCAGCGGTTTATGACTATGAGAAAACAGCCAAGTCAGCTGATTATCGCAGAAACTTCCGGTGCTTCTCCTTTATTAATGTGGAAAATCTCCCAGAGGAGCAGGGAAAGATGTTTTTATGAGTCCAGAAAGGTTTCATAGAACTAAAGGGCATCATCATGAGATGCTATTTTACTGCAAAAGAGACACGGGTAATAGTGTCTTTATAACCCTGTGCACAGATTAACATTCCAGACTACTGGGCGACAGGGTCCTAACTCCTGTCATAATATAATTTAAACCAAAAACCTGAAGAGAAAGAAGTGCTTAGATCTTGCATAAGTAACAATTCAAAAACAAATAAACTTCTACAAATCCTGTATTTACAGTATTATCAGCAAAATGTAATGAAAGTGTCAAAGGTAAGGTATTGTGTATGTGATATTGTAGTCACTGCTGGTGATGTATGAATGTAAAATGAGCATTTCACTGTTATTTTCCAGAAAACTGTGTAATTTTGATTACAATTGTGTTACTTACAAAAAATAAAATCAGCAAAGTCATTCTATCTCTCAACCGTCATCAGTGTAGCTGATTAAATTCTTCAAATAAAACCAGTTAGAATGAAAAATCATACTTTGAACCTTTGAAATGAAAACTATAACCTGTGACAAGAGGCTGCAAAGCGCGACTGATTAGTTCCGAGGGGTCATGAACCACAGGTGCTGGGAAACACTGTTTCAAAGCACCACGTTGCCAGAAACAGAATTATTTTATCATCATTTTAAAATATTTTGTTGTAACTTCTAAAAACAGAAAAAAATCTACCAATTCAATAAATTCTCAATTATGTGTTATCATAAACTCTTTCTTCTTTCTTTCTTTCAGCTCATTGCATTTCCTTAAAGCAACCACTGACATATCTTCCATGTTCAGAAAAACTTTTAATTTAAAGTACATTATGGTTGGTAACAGAATCACTGATGAAACCTAAACTTGTTACAATTTGTTACTGAAGACTCACCTGGTAATAAAACAACCGCTAACAGGAATCCTGTGTGGACCAGGGAAAGTGTTTGTCGTCCAACACGTGCCATTTTCACTTTATGTGCTTCCTGAGGGAACAGAGAGTCAACAATATTCAGTGTATTTGCATGAACCTCTTTCAGTCAGCTACAATACTGCAATGCAACTAGACTTTGATTGATCCCTGTGTTACCGGTTTTTGTGGAGAATTTTTCAGCTAACTGTTAGATATGGAAATCCCTCAGAAGACAATACACTTGGAACAAAAAGAAAGCTTTTTTTTTTTTTAATCGACTGATGCCAAGACAATAGAGAGGATTGAGGACATGCTGTAATAGAGCTTTTCAGGGATTACTGAGAGAAATAATGCTTCACTTCTGAATATCAGAATATCAAGAAAAGCGACTGAACTCGACAATCAAACAGCCAAAAGCTTGGAGATGTTCTTTTCTATTGCTGCACGGATGGCTGTTGAATTACAGCTGCTGTGCTCAAAAAAGATAGACTGTCTCCTACAGTTTCACTCTGGCTTTTAAATCTGAGGAATTTCTAACTTTTCAAACAAAGCCACAGCACTTGAAGTTGCAGTCAGTCACTCTGAGAATATATAAACTTTAAGTAGCTTTATTATCCGTCCTTACCTGCAAAGGTGCAGAAGTCGTGGCCTCCTGTGATCACCTTTGGATCCAGCGGCTCTGTTGAGGGGGGGGTTGCTGCACTGTGGTCGTCTCAGCCGTCTAAACCCTCTACCTCTCTGCTCCCCTGTATGGGACGGACACCCAGGGAAACATTTTTAAGGAGCCCCCTTGATCATTAAAAACAAAAAGGCATGTCATACGGCTGAGGCGTGCTGTTAAGCGCTCCAGGATTGGCTCCTCCATCCGTCCAACCAATAGGGGTCCTGTAATTAGGAAAGGTGAGCTGCTCTCGGTGAAGGAGCATTAGCAAGGTGCCATTTAGTACTTTCCTCACACGCTTGGAATTTGAAGACATCAGGCAGGGTGAAAATGTGCCATTGCTTTGATTTTGACAGATAAAAACTGTTAAATCTCCATCACAGAGACCATCACAGAGCTTACAAAACTTCAGACACCATAAAGCAAAGGAGGGAATCCTGGTATTCATGGGACTTTCTTAAAGATACACAAGCAGCAATGAAAAGCAATAACTCGCACACCCCTACTGTAAAGAAAGTGAAAGAGTCTTTTGTGTTTTACTCTAATGCTTTGTTCCTTTAGCACAGAAGAATAGAAACTATTTCTGAAAAAACGTCTATGTTGCATCAGTATATTGACAAATGTGTGAGCACCAGTGTCCAGGATAATGGGAACATGACTCATTTCACTTCACTGACGCAATGCTACATCCAAGGAGCAGCTCCAGCAAGTTATTTGATCATTTTTGCAAATGTGGTGTCTTTAATGTCAGAAGTCTGTGGCCAGTTGCTGTATTGCTCAGCTGTTTCATGCTGGAGCTAAGAGCTGCTGCTGGAGACGGGAAAAAAAAGCAGAGTCAACGTAAACTAGCCAACTCAGAAATGGAGCTTTTTACATCTCACCAGCCAGACCAATAAGCCTCAGTAAAATAAAGGTAGTTTCAGTCTTTCACCTGCCCCCATTAAAAAGCTTTTTTTCCAGCACATGCATGCTTTTATGAAACAACACGGAGGAAACTTTAGGTCATTAGGAGAGGCAGGTCTCATAAGGAGAGCCACTAATGAAGCAAACTGCTGCTGCTGCTGTAGAAGGCAGAGCCATGAGGACCAGCATGCCAACAGCACTGTACAAGATCCTGATGCCTGGATTGTGCCACGTCGCCTGCACAGCCTGCAGCCTGTGTCAGAACGCATTCTGTACGTAGGAGCTCTGGAAACTGCAAAATCGGAGTTGTAAAAAGATACACAGGCAGCCATTGTAGAGACGTCTGCACTTAAAATCACACAAGCACATATACATACAGTGTCTTTATAGGGCTGTTTACGCCATTTTTCCACAACACTTTCAACTATTATCTATGACCTTTAGCTAACTATTTTTACAATGTGTCTGTGACGTTTATTTAAACGTTTTAACCATTTGTCTATGTCTTTCAACTGACTATTTCAGCCATTTAACTGTGACATTTAGTCAATTATTTCAACTGGCTTTCAGCTAACTATTGAAACCATTTATCGATAACTTTTAGCTAACCATTACAACCATCTTTTAATGCCTTTTAGCCAACTATTCCAGCCATTCATCCCGGGCTTTTAGTTAATTATTCCAGCCATTTATCCATGATTTTTAGTTAACTATTGCAGCCATTCATCCATGACATTTAGTCAGTTATTTCAACCATTTATCCCGGGCTTTCAGCTAACTGTTGAAACCATTTATGGAAAACTTTTAGCTAACTATTGCAGCCATTTATCCATGACTTTTAGGTCATTATTTAAGCCATTAATGACTTCTAGCTAACTATTTCAACCTTTTTAAATGCCTTTTACCAAACTATTTAACCATTTATTAATTTCTTTTAGCTAACTGTTTCAGCCATTTAGCCATGACTTTTAGCTAACTATTTCAACCATTTATCCTGGGCTTTTAAGTAATCATTTAAGCCATTTATCCATGACTTTTAGGTAATTATTTAAGCCATTAATGACTTCTAGCTAACTATTTCAACCATTTTTTCATGTCTTTTACCAAACTATTTAACCATTTATTAATTTCTTTTAGCTAACTATTTCAACCATTTATCCCGGGTTCGTAAGTAATCATTTAAGCCCTTCATCCAAGACTTCTAGCTGGCTATTCCAGCCATTCATTTTCATTGTTGGTCTCTATGAAAATAAAAACCAAACTCAATCAAACTGCTGCCTTAAGCATCATCTGTCTCTCAATGCTGCTTTTCTGCAGTCGTACAGTTTGTCCCCAAGGACACGTGTCCGTCTTACATGACTGATGAGGACTCAGCCTTGGCAATGATCCCTGCAATTTACACATTTCTGAATTACCGGGGCTGTCACAGAAAGAAACTGATTGTTGTCCTCTTCAGCTTTAAACTGAGCTGCCATCAGGAGATATCTGTCTCTCTCTGTGCGAAGAAATCACACAGCGACTTAACAGAAATTTGGGCTCAGAAAAATCCATAAAGTGTCTCATGCTACTTGCACAAGAAAAGCTCATTAAAAGCACAGACTCTTGTTAAATGAAGATGCCTGTCAAATGCTTTTATGTAAGCACTTCACTTATGGTACGAGCTTCTCGGCACACTTAAAATCGAAAGTCAGTTTCTCTATGATTGTTAACAACAAATTTTAAACATAACTTATTAGCAGAGTGCAAAAAATGTTACGACAATGGATGTAATTTAAATCAAGTGTTTATATCCTATAAAACGTGTAATTTTGAAGAGTCATAAATATTTCTGCTTCACCATTCATTGTCAAACACTTTCAGCAGATCTGAGCTTTGTAGTTTAAGTGAAGTGTCCACATTCACAAATGACTGAGAATAACACCTAGTGTTTTCTTGTTGGGGGTGGTAATATCAGCCAATTGGTCCACCACTTCAGTCCAGACAGAAATATGTCAACAATGATTGGCTAAATACCATGAAATCTACTTTACTTTATTACTTAATACCTGCAAAAAAAATAAGAAATTTGCATAAGCTGTTTGTGTTTTAAGATGATACTAACTAGATAAACTCAGATGATACACATTATGTTTGCTAAAATTCAGTATGGTGTTTGTCATGGTGACCATGTTG